ATGAAACAATTGATTGAAATACCCCCATTTTGTCATTGTCATATGGAGCATCACTAATGCAAATTGCAACTGCAAGATGATGGAAAAGTTTTTGTAAAACCAATGCTTGCAATGATGGAAAAGGTCCCTTTTTTGCAAAAATGGACCTGTTTCTTGTTCCACTCTTAAAGGAAATTCCTTAATTGAGCCATAAGAGAGAAAAGTTCATCTACTGAAGTAGAAGTGTTGTTAAGGAATACCCAACTTCCTTTAACCATTGTATGAGTAAGAACTCTTTAAAACAAGAAACTATGATTTAACTCCATAAAACCTTATGAACACAATGTCAAACCCACTGGGTTGCCCAAAAATAATAGTTCCAAGCAGAATTTTATGAAATAAACCTCAAAATTGAACTCAGCACATCAATATTAGGCGGAATAGTTTTCTGACAAGGCAAATGATGTGGCATTCGAGTGTAATGAGGTGGCACACTAAAGTTGTTGCTGGCATGGTCCAAGTTGGATCTTCCAAACTCGGTGTGTACTAGCATTCAACAAATTAGGAGACTGAAGACTGCGCATGGTTTCTTCAATGGTTTGATTTTGACCTTGTTCAGAAAGTGAACTCCAATTTTGAAAAAGGTATTACAGATGTTTTTGACCATCACTTCCTTTTTCATGGTCTTACATTCAACAGAAAGTTCAGTGGCTTCAATGAACAGCCTTTTCATTTTTCTTGAGAGCAATTGAAAGTTTATGGTTGGTGGGATCTTTGGTAGCTAGCTCTTCAACCAAATCTATTTGGGACAAGAAAGCAATTTTTGGATAAATAGAAAGAAGCAAAGATGAGAAAAAGAAAAAATAGAATTTCAATTCATCTCAATACTGAATAACCCTAATTCAACCTAAGCTTATATAAACAATCTAAAACCCTAATTAGACTTAAATTCCTAATTAGAATCCTAATTAGAATCTTTATTGAAAGATATCAAATCCATAAATATAATATACTAGTACATATTACAATTTAATTCCTATATATACAAACATAATTGATTCCTAATAATTATATAATTTTCTTATCTACATCACAATGAGATAGGCAACTTAGTTTTAGATAGATAACTTAGATTTAGCTGTTACATTGCTAGTGCCACATGATAACCTCAGGTAGAGGAAAGGAGAGGACAGATATAAAGAATGCTAGAACATATTAGCTTCAAAAAGAAGCTCAAGTTCTCAACAACTAAATAGTTGTCAAAAATACATACCAAACTACTCTTGCACAAGACTGCCAGAGGAACTGTGGTTGAATCATGCTTAGGTTCACCCACCCATAACCTCGTCACTGTAGCTCCTGTACAGACAAAAATAAGAAAACCCTTACATATAAGTGCAGGACAAAACTTGTGAGAGTTAGAGAAAACTAAAATGATATCATCTTTGAGAGGGAACAATGAAAAGATACAAATCTAGTAGTAATAAACTACATTATTAATATATAACCATCTAAAATCTGAATAAGCACAAGAAGAAACAAGTTTAACATTTCCATCTTCAATTCACATAAAATGCAAGCTTAACAACATTGACATTTAAAAAAATGGTGTGAGGAAAAGGACATTGACGACTATCTGTTAAAGGAACTGCATCAAAGGTCAAGGTTCATAAGGATTTTAGCAGACTAAACCTTAAAATTAGCTATAGAAACTTCAAGTTCTACATAGCAGAATGGTTTGGTCTTCAGATATTTCTTTTATCTGCCGGTACACATCCCTTTCAATTCCCAAACAACCTTTTTGTACAAGACAGGACTTCTCACTAACATAAGATTGTAGCATCTTCTTTGCCTTCACATATGCAACTTTTTAACTTGTGAAACTTTTTACCTTTCAATACATGAAACATCCCTGTCCTTAATTGTCATATCAGAACTGATGTCCTTAATTGTCATAGTCAGAATTGATGTCCTGAATTGTTAAGGACTTAATTGCATAAAACAAAGATTGAGATTTTGCATGACCAAAACTATGAAATCTGGTTAGTGGGCTGCATGTTCCAACCACCAAGTAAATGCAACATTTGGCCTTTACAAAGGACAAGTGGCTCTAGAGTGGGCAAAAACCACTAGAAGTATGGTCTAATTTGCATTTGACAGAAACCATTTCAGACATCTTTTTCTCTTAGTCCCACTTATGCATGTCACGAGTGTAAAACAATTCTAGGCTCTCTTTCTTTTAGCCAAGCAAGAGAGGAAGGGGGCAAAATGAGTCTTGTTGATTGAATTTAAAATGATACTTTTCTGGTTAAATATGACCCTAGACAAAAGCAAATGCAAGAAATAAGCTTAATGATGATGAATGCTTAGCATGCGACTGAAATCATTGGTTAGTATAAGGTTAGCTATAATGTCTGAGTCTGAGCCATATATGATTTGTTATATTTTTGAAATAACTTGAAGTTTTAAGAATCTATTAACTATGTAGGGCCCTGAATACACTAGCTCATATGCATGCAGAGTTTAATTGTTCAGCCGTGTCTAGGCTATAAGTCAGTGCTAGTAGAATTGAATAAAAATTGAGACTAAAAGTAGGACATGCAAATATGACCACTGAAAGCTGTAATTGACGCAAGCCACTATGTTATCTTGTTATGGTTTGATAACAACTTGTCTTGCTATATTTTAAAGTATATGCATGACAATTTCAAGAACGTTGTTTTTATCCCATGCAATGCCTATTGTAGAAAGTCTTCTAATGCAATAAGAATGTATCATTTTACATGCTGCATAGACTCTTTGGTATGATACCTAAGCTGTGAAGCTAGGTAAGAACTCCTAAAGTACCTGGAGTAAAGACAGAAGGATATCTAAATGATAACTAGGGTCGATCTTGTTGTCTAGACCCTCTGTGCAGAAGGAAGAACCATTGGACCATTGGTATGGTGGGATGCACACCCACAAGGAAAAATCCATGGAAAAGAACTTGCATTCATCTGCATGTTTGAACAAGCGTAAGGCTACCTAACTGATTATCTTATGATTCTGGGAAGTACTTAGGTAATGTTTATATATGACACCTGCTTTGTGCAGTAAAGGAACATCTTTTCTGGTTTGTTCAAGAATGATGAACAAGTATGTGTTAGATTGAACATTTGTATCCTAAATTAGATTGTTCTAATTTAGATATTGTGGATTATTGACAAGATGTTGATTAACATATGCCTAATTTTTGTATCATGACATAAGTTTTATATTGAAGAACAATATAGGTCAATTGACGGAGCCTGTTAAGTTAAATTAATAATTCAATTATGGCTCTTTGTTATATAGCCCATGCTTATTGGGCTTCTTAGCTCATGGTGTATTGTTCATTCTGTTTCAGGCTACCTACAAGAGTGAATAGCATTTCCGAGAGTCCAAGAGTTTCCTCTAGTTGCAGGTAGTGAACAAGCTTGTTGAGGTAACTTGTATCTGCCCAAAACTGAATCCTGGTTCAATGTTTTGTAAAGAACTTCACAGATTTAGAACATGTTTTGTTTACCAAATGGGATATCAGGTAAACCAAAGGCCTGTTTCTTAATCAGTTAATCTTGATTATAATGAGAGAGCTTGCTGTTTAAATAAGCATATACATGGACTGCTTCCAAAACTTGTTTATATATCCAAAGAATGTGTTTTTAAACCGGGACTTAAGATCTTTAGTATTCTGCACCATAGCTTACAATGTCCAACCAAAAAATCATTATAATGTAACTTCATTCTCCCTCAATTATCTTTACTCCACACCCACTTTAGAATGTAAAATGGCATCACTTGGACAGGGGCCAGAGGAAATGAGAATGTAGATACAGAGGTATTAGAATTGTGAAGATTAATAATAAAAAAACAATTACCTTCAAGTGTAACACTCAATGCAAGAGTGAAAATTTTGCAATAGGATGAAAGATCCCAGACTCGTAAAATCCCATCAATATGGAGCACAAATAGAAGCTTTCTTCCATGCACCTCAAATATTTGTAGATCTTTCACAGGCTTTATCGTTCTTCCCCTGCATAACATGTAAACATTAATTCATGCAAGAGAACAATGACAAACATGTACCATTTACTAATTGCATAAACATTAACTTGATGGCCAAAAAAAGACAAAAAGAAATAACTTACTATCTTTTACTAAGGGCTAAGATGACAAAAACAAAGTCAGAATTTTCAAGTTATAAAGAAGATTGTGTAGAACAAAGGCAAAGCTGAGCAGAGGACAATAGAAACAGAGTCAAGGGTCATAAAAGAATTGTAGAATTAGGGATTTTGCAAGATAATTTCAATTCAACTCATCAACTGAATAACTCAAATACAAAATGGGCTTATATAGAAAAGCTAAAGCTAAAACCCTAGTTAGACTTAAATCCCTAACTTGACTCCCATAGGAATCTAATCAAATCCTAATAAATTAATAGAAACTTCAATTCCTATATAATCATAATCATAATAGAATCCTAATAAATATGACTTCCTCCAATATCACAAAATTAGACTTAAATCCCTAATCAGACTTAAGTCTGTAATAGTCTCCTAATAAGAATCTTTTTTTCAAAGATATCAAATACCTAATAATATAAACTACCAGATAAATGTTACAATTAATTCTGATATACTCATGTACTCATAATTATAATAGACTCTTGATATAAAGATAATTTCCTTATTTGCATCAGTTTTTATTTGTTTTCTAGTGATGAGTCTTTTCTAAAAGAGTTCTGCGGTCCCTTTTTTTCTGTAATAGCAAACAAAGTTTGTGGTTTAGGGATCTTTGATAGATGATAGATCTGATACCAAATTGACATAGGACAGAGGCAGGCAAATGCAAGAAAAGTAAGAAGAGAAGATTAGAAACAAAAACAAAGGTGAGAAGTGAACTTATAATTAGTCTTCATTTATAAATATAACCATTAACCTCCACATTTTCCTTACAAACAAACAACATGAAGAAAAGAAAGGAAGTTATCTTTTCCTGTTTACTTCTGTTCTCCTCTCCACTTGGCTTAACCTCCTATTTTGGCAACACCCCCCCCCCCCCCCCACCCCACCAACTCATAGATTTTAAGGTTATTGGCCCCCCACCTAAAATTTAAGGTTATTGTCCCTCAAATGCTTCTCACATGGGCATTAGTCCAACACCATGCCCATCCCACTCACTGACACATCAGCATCCTCTCTCCTATTTGGCGTGCCACAATACCAATGAGTGTAAAATTCCCACCCAATATAACATGGGTCCCACTCTATCATTGCCAACCATGGCACATCAAGTAGGAGATAGGACATTGATATGTCGCTGAGTGGGATGGGCATGACGTCTTAATAACACCCACATGAGAAGCATGCCTCAAATCAATGAAAAAAAGAGTAAATTTCCCCAAATTGTGTTGCGCAGGGGCTAATAAACTTAAATGTTCAGATGGAGCCAATAACCTTAAAATCTATAAGTTAGGGGGCTAAACAGGGGGTTAAGCTCTTCCACTTCCCTACAAATTTTCCCAAACCCATATGCAGCAAACATTTGTATAATATATTAACGTAAATAATATGAGCAGATAAAACTGCACCACAGCACTAAATAATGTAAATCTTCCAAAATTTATTAACTAAATTCCAATTCAAAGGTAAATAGGTAATAACTAAAAGGGTGGGAAAGCCAAGGAAGACCTTCAACCTTCAGTACTCAAATAACTAATAACACAAAATGCTCAACATGATCAAGATTACACATTTTATTAAAGTGCTTCTGATTAAGACAAACAAAAACTATATATTCCAACAAGTTCTAAACACAAGTAAATTACCTTAAAAAGTAAAAGCAAAATCCCATAGTGTAATTTCTAAGGTCTAGTAACAACTAAAAGATCTCTCATTCTCAATATCATGAATATCTACCAAGATTTTCAGCAAAAGCATACTCATTTTGAAGCCAAGGAATGTTCTTTGCAGAACTTTTAGAAGAAAATTATGCAAGAGTAAATTGACCAATCACCCATTAAGGACTTGTTCTCACATCACCACAACCAAAGAAAATATATAAGGAATATAAGGAATAACTAAAAGGGTTAAGCCAAGGAATGTTTTAAGAATCAATTGTTTGTTGATTTTTCTACACACAATTTAAAGAGAGAAAAGGTACCTTGAGACAAAACTCCACAGAACACCGATCCCTGAGTCATCCCTAAGCTCATGTTGAAAACCTAATGGGGAAAGTAAAGATAGAAATGATATGAAAGGGTGTAATATATTATATGAAAAAAAAATTAAAAAGTAATCCGCAGATTGGAATTAGATGAGATGAGCAACATACCAGGAGCAGTTTGGTTGAGCAAGCCAAGTTGGAAGCAACCAACAGAACCATCATCTCTCCCAAGAACAAGGCATCCAGGTGCAGCTGCTACAGAACTAATTGGTCCATTACTGGAATTAGTTTGCAAATCAAGCTCCACAAGATCCTCTTTTGGGAATACAAAGCAGGATGAATATGCAGATATGTCTTTGGAAAGCTTAAGCAAGTAAGCAACTCCAGAAACAGTCAAAGCATAAAGCAGATAATGGGAGTCACTACCAGCTTCACTAATCTACATTGCATAATATAGATATGAAGTTAAGAATATGAAGATGAAGTTTGGTTTAAAAACAAAGATGCACATCTAAGTCAGTATATATTTAATTATAGAAGAAACCTGGTTGCTTCTGCAGACAAAACCGAAAGGATAAAGGGGGCAGGAGAAAGTGAGGCGCAACCCAACCCCAGGAAATTCCTGATTCAAGTGCAACTCAAATAACTCCAGAGCATTGGGTAGAGTCATCTGAATTCGCCTGTCGTAGTTAAAAGGGTTTAAGAAAGAGATAAAAGACATAGTGAATACAATAAGAACGAGATAACAGGACGGAAGCAAACAAGTACCAAACGAGAAAAGGAGCATCTCCGATGTGGGTGCTGGAGGCGTAATCTTTAGCTTGAGTAGCAAAAGAAGCACCACAGTCATTGTTATTGAGAGCTGTAGGTACAGAGACCTCAATCCATTTAACGTAGTCGCTGCCGATGATAGGGACTTCCACACCCACAGGACCCATTTTGTTTATCTGCAAGAGATGAAAACCCTAGTAGCAGACTGGAAGCTGCAGGAGCAGTAGCAACTGCGGGCGGAGGGATGTATCTCTACCGGAGTGAAAATTGGGGAACCCAAGGCGTAGGTTTAGTGCACTTTTAGTAGTGGTTAATAAAAATAAATAAAGCAAAAAAAAGCAAATAAACCCTCCAACCCCACAATTGGAGAAAGTCTATAATATCCCGGGTATACCACGTGGGATGTATCCCGAACCAATAATATTCTGACACGTTTTAGATTGTGGGGCCATAAAACACCAAAAATTAACGTTGTTTCTTTGCCTTCCTTCTTCCTTTCTTTGGGCCGTTTCTACTTCTTCCTGTCTTTTATTTTTTTATTTTTTTCGCTGCATTTACATGTTACGCTTAAAAGTTGAATAACCATTTCTTTTTCTTTGTGTAGTTCTAACAAAATTATTTATGAGATTCTTTTTATTTTTTTACGGTCATTAAATTTTTTTCTGTAAATATTTTATCATCAGCTTTTTATTTGAGATACTATTGTCATCAATTAACAAAAGAAATTCACTTTAAAATTCAATTGGGGAAATATGAAGGAAGGCTGAGACTTTGGAGGTACATTTTCAAAAATCATGAATTTAAATGCTTTGGCGATCTGTAAAATAAGTTTTTAAGTGCTCACAATGCCTTTGAACATCAGACCATGACGGCTATCATCTGCCTCTTTCATCACTTCTCCAAAACCCAACCATTTTTGCTTTTCCCCAAATTCCACAGTCGATATTGATGCTAATCATCACAAGAAGGTGTTTTAAGAGCAATCCTTCTTGTATCCTTGAGAGAAGAAAAGAGTGGAGAATGAAAAAGAAAGGAAATGCCGATAGGAGAAGGAAGACGCAAGGCGAAAGAAAGGAAAAACGACAACAGGAAATGGTGTTAGTTTTATGTGTTTCATGGTTATTCAACCTTTCAAGAGGAGCAGGTAAACGCAGCAAAGAAATAAAAAATAAAAAAAAAAAACAGAGAGGAAGTAGTAGAAACGGCCCAAAGAAAGGAAGAAGAAAGGCAAAGAAACGGCGTTAGTTTTTGGTGTTTTATGGCCCCACATTCTAAAACGTGTCAGAATATTATTGGTTCGGGATACATCCCACGTGGTATACCCGGGATATTGTAGACTTTCTCCCACAATTGAAGCAAATAAGGCCCTCCGCCAACCGAGCTCAGTGACACCGTTTATTAATGACTTGCGTGACATTACATGTCTTTTATATGTTTCTTCCTTTCCTTTATTGTATTATTTGTGATGATATATTTTTTAATCAATTAATTAATATACTATACAATATATATGTTTAAGTGATATTTTTTACTTAAATAATGATATTTTTTATTTTAATCAATGATACATTTTATTTTAATGATCCTCTTAAATTATTTCTTAAATTTAATCGAACTACCTAATTAATAAATTTTTTTAACATATTCCTTGTTTTTCTTATTAATTATTATGAAAAAAATTTCTAATCTCTACTTTTAAAATACATGCTAAAAATGTGATAAATATATTTTTTTCATAAATTTATATTAAAAAAATAAATATTGACTCTTAATTTATCAAGAACTTAAAAAAATTCATTCACGTGATAATTGTATTAAAATTAATATCAATTTTTACATTTTTTTATATAAATTAAAGATAAAAAAGTGTACCCAAGTGCAAAAATCAAGATGTCTTGGTAATTTAAATATCAAACTTCCTATAAAATTATTTAAATACTTTTTAGGATTGAAAAAATGATCGAAAGGCAATTACTATGATAGTAACAATAAAGAAAAGATTAAAGTTTCTTTAGTAAATTAATTACAAAAATATTTATTAAGAATATTTAAACAATTTTATAAATAGTTATAATATTTAAAATACCAAGCCGTCTTATTTTAACTCTTAGAAACCTCTTTTTTATCATTATTTTATATAGAAAAATATGAAAATTAACATTAATTTTAATGTTATTACTACGTGAATGAATTTAATTAAGTAGTTGATAAATTAAAGATCGAACATTTATTCTTTTAATACAAATTTACAACAAAAAATGTATTTATCACACTTTTAATATGTGTATTACTAGTAGAGGTTAAAAAACACTCTTTCATAACAATTAACAATTAATTAGAAGAATAAAGAACACGGTAAAAAAAATTCTTTATTAATTTTGTTGTTTGATTAAATTTAAGAAGTAATTTAAAAGGATTATTAAAGTAAAATGCGGTTGAAATAAAAAATCATTTTAATTAAAAAAGTCATCAAGCATATATATTTATATATAACATAATATTAATTATTTAATTACTTAAAAAATATATAGTCACGTAAAACAAATGAAGAAAAGAGAAAAAAGACATAAAGTTGTGCAATGTCACGCAAGCCATTAACAAATGGCGGAGCTTAGTTAGTAGGGGCTAGTTTGCTTCAATGGTGGGATTAGAGGGCTCATTTGTTTTTTTTTTCATTTAGGGTTTGATCAACTATTGTTGGAAAAGTTGAGGGGCTTAAGAAGTGTTTTTGTTCAAAAATGCATCAACAATAATAATAGAAACAGATAAAAAATAAAAATGCACAACTGGTAGCTCATAGTTAATGCAACATAATTCCTATGGTGACATAGGATGTGCATTGTAAGTATAGATCACTGTAAATACAAAAAAAAAAAAAAAAAAAAAAAAAAAAAAAAAAACTAACATTTGAACTCCCTACTTATGTTTCAAAAAAAAAATTTTTTTTATCAATTTATAAAGAAATAATACTGAAAAATTGTTTCATTGGTATTAGAATTTAACTAAGGAGAACTGTTAAATTTTTTTAATCAATGGTTAAAAAAGAGAAAAGAAACATATCAAACTAAGGAGAACTGTTAAATTTATAATTTAGGTAATACATGCATCCATTTTAATAATAAAAGACGATAATAACTTGATAGTTGGACAACTATCTCTAGCATTTACTTAGTACGTATTTTCAATTTAGATAATAGTTACTTCTCATAATTACTAAAGCTCACACAATTAAAATTGTTGTTAATATTCCAACTACCATGATTTCTACCCATACATAAGAGCTTGCTACTAAGCTCTCCGAAGAAGTTTTCAAAAAACAATGTCTTTAATTGTGAGTTTTACTTGATGGTGATTTTTATTTCTTGTTACCCTCAATTCCAAAGGTGTCTTACTTCTTGTTTGTTTTGTTACAAAATATGGTAACCTAATATTAGTGCAAGGTAAACTTTATCTAATTATTTCTTAAAAAATTAGATTTTTTTATTCGTACACAAGTTGTGATCCATTTGTAGCTTAGGCATTTGGTTTTTCAATGTTAACTGTCTTGGGCAAGAGTCTTGTATGAAATATAACAGTAATCATTAAACTTAATTTTTGAAATTCAGGGTATGAAGATAATTTATATAATCAATATTAAGTGATCAAATTATACATTTTGGAGAGTTGATTTTCTTGTCAATCCATTATTTTTCTTTCGCATAAAAAATGCATTTTATAATTTTAAAATAAAAAATATAGAGACTTTTGTCACATCATGAAAAATAAAAGAATTTTAAAACATTTAGCCTACAACATTGAAGGTTTTAGGTTGATTTAATTGAGGTATTTCAAGCTTTGTCTTGTGTCATCATAAGACCATGCATCTCTCCGTATGTGATAAAATTTAAAATAGATCAACTATTAAACTAAAATATAACTTGCATGAATTATTAGAAAATGATATTTTCAACCATGTAAAGAAAGTTCTTCATTTCTAGTACTTTCTTGAAACAATCTATAATTCACCTTCTTTTGTGATTGTTTTATTAACATAAGTACAAATAAATGTTTTGCTTCAATGTTCAACTCTAGTGACTTTATTCCAGCTTACTTCTGTTGTATTGAAGTTGAACATGATGGACATTTTGATAGAATCTACAAACTAGGCAAAGCTTGTACGTTAGGTAATCTTTTTAGCACTTTGATCACTTTGAAGACTACCATACCTTTTGTGTAATTTTCGTTGTTCACAACAACTTGAAATCTCCAACTGTATATCTAAGATTGTAAACCATTGCATGAAGTGTTCTTGTTGTTAATGGTTGTTTTGTGAGAAGCATATTGATGTCTATTCCAACAAAATCTTAACTATTGTGCCAAAAAAGGATAAATAGAGCTTCTCTTGTTTTATTGGTGACTATAGTTTTTATTTTTATCACATCCCAAAATTGGGAGCAAAATAGACAATGTACACTTGTGAGAAGATCCCACATATGCACAAGACTTGAAACCTATTTAATTTATAACTAGCAATCCACATAAACTTAGATCCAAATCTTAAGTAAAATCTAGTTTTAAATAACCAAAGTTTGACTAGGCCAAAGTGCACAAAAATTAATACAACTCTATGTCCAAAAATATATGTGACTAGAGGCCTAACTCCAAAATAATCTAAATCCAAAACACAAATGGCTAGTCTTCTACCTCGTCACTGCCCTTGGTTTCCTGCATCTCGAGTCACGCTACTTGAAATGGTGGGTGAGGAAAAAAAACTATGTGAGATAACTCAGAAAGTAAAAATATGGATAGCACTTATTTCAAAGTTAAAGCATGCTAAATAAACAATTTAAACATAAACCACAAGAAAAATCTTAGATATGAACCATTAATATAGAGTAAAACTCAATAGTGGTCTCCTCAATCAATCATGGCCAGTGTTTAATAAACTTCCACTAGCATGTGTCAAGAATAACAAGTGTACTATCCCACTGATAGAAATAACAAGAATAAACCAGTTTCTAGGAATATATGTCAACATGTGCCAGTGTTTACAACTCCCATTGGCGGGCTTCAAGAATCATAACCATATTGGAAACAAAACCATGCAAGAGTTCAACAAGAAAATCTATAATTTACAAATATGCAGAGTTAATAAGAAAATTCATAATTTATAAATATGCGGGAGTTAACAAGAAAATCATAACTTACAAACCAATTTCAGATTTCTAGAACAAGTAAACTCCATGTAGGCATGCTCAACTCAATAAAAATGATGGTA